CTTTGTCTTACTGCAATGGCTAGGAACCACAGCAGAATTCTTTTTTTTTTTTTTAGGCTGAGTTTCACTTTTGTTGCCCAGGCTGGAGTGCAATGGCGCAATCTTGGCTCACCACAACCTCCACCTCCTGGGTTCAAGTGATTCTTTTGCCTCTGCCTCCTGAATACCTAGGATTACAGGTATGCACCACCACACCCGCTAATTTTGTATTTTTAGTACAGATGGTGTTTCTCCATGTTGGTCAGGCTGGTCTTGAACTCTTGACCTCAGGTGATTGGCCCGCCTCAGCCTCCCAAAGTGCGGGGATTACAGGTGTGAGCCACCGCGCCTGGCCAGAGACAGGATCTTTTGAAAGTCTAAAGCATCTGTCATATGTTTCATCTTTTCCATTTCTGCCATTGTTCACTTATGCTGTCATTCATTTGATTAATCTCACAGAATTTTGTTAATTTTATGTCTTTTTGAAGAACCAAGTTTTGGCTTGTAAATCCTCTATGGTATAATTTTTTTCCTATGTCATTAATTGTTGCTTTTTGTAATTTATTTTTTTTTATAGACGGGGTCTCGCTATGTTGCCCAGGCTGGAGTGCAGTGGCTTTTCACAGGCCAATCCCACTACTGATCAGCAAGGGAGTTTTGACCTGCTTCGTTTCCAGCTTGGGCTGGTTCACCCCTCCTTGGGCAACCTGGTGGCACCCCGCTCCCAGGACGTCACCATATTGATGCTGAACTTAGTGCAGACACCCAATCAGCATAGCGCACTACAGCCCAGACCTCCTGGGCTCAAGCGATCCTCCAGCCTCAGCCTCCCAAGTAGGTGGGACTACAGATACGTGCCACCGCCCACCAATTGTTGCTTCTTTAAAAAAAATTTCCTTCAATTTCCTTAAGTTTATTTTGCTATTGTTTTTCTAACCTCTTAAGGTGACAGTTTTTGTTTGCTTGTTTTTTAGCTTTTCTATATCTCTATTGTGGGTCAAAACGGCTGGGGGGAGACATATGTTAATTCTAGCTAAATAATTATCAGCTTGCTTGGCTCAGAGTACACTGCAGTTTATATATCGAACTAAACTATATTATTGGTGCAGTTAATTGGAAATCAAGCGGCAGCAGGAACCTAAGGTAAAGACCAACCAAGAGCACAGTAACACTGGGGAACACCGCGGGGTGGCTGCAGAGCAGGGAACACTGCTCCGGTCCCACGAATGGCTTCTCAACTTGGATACCGCATGAGGATCTCGTAAAGAGGGCTTGTGCAGGGAGGCAACCTCTGCTTACAAGATCTGAGGGGGTCTTTGCAGATGGGAGCTGGCAAGGGGGAGAAAAGCCTTGCGGGGCAAAGATCACGGAACACCTCAGGCTCTGGCTAGGTTCTAGGAATATGGAGTGATTTTAATTGCTCTATGTCCTCAATGCTAGGGAGATAAAAGCCCCTATATGTATTGGGTGTGGTCAGACCTGGTGGCTCCTCATCCTACACTTCTGATGCAGCCACACCCTGATAACAACCAGTGATTAGCATGTCTTAGAAGGATCTGAAGTTCTCAAGTGATATCTTACCTACCTCTTCACTCTCCCCTTCCATGCCCATAAGATCAATGAGATTATGCACATAATAACAGTGTTTGGAGCCCAGAGCTGGGGCCAACACGGTTCCCACACTTGCGTTGCTCCCCTGGACCCATGCTGTAAATTCTACTCTTTTGTCTCTGTCTTTATTTCCTTTTTTCAATCCCTCATCATCACTGGTACTAAAGACACCCCCATACAGGGTTGAGGCTGGTCCCCAACATCTATATTATCAGAAGTTGGCCAGCCATGCTGGCAAGCCAAATGTGGCCTACTGCCTGTGTTTCTCAGTAAAGTTTTATTGACACACAACCATGGCGATTTATGTATGTGTTATTTATGGTGTCTTTTATGCTACAGTGGCAGCAATGTGGCCCACAAAATCTAAAATATTTACAGTCCAGCCTCTTATTGGAAGAGTTTCCTGACCCCGGCATTAGATCAACGTTGTTAACTCTGCTGTTCAAATATTCATTTTCCTTACTTTTCTCTTGCTCTTTCTGTCAATTTTTGAAAGATGTGTGTTATAAATTATAATTCTGAAGGTAGATCCCTCAATTTGTCTGGTTATGTCAAATTTGCTTTATTTTGGATCTGTGGGTATTCAATGACTATACATGTAAGATTCTTGTGTCTTCCTGTTGAATTGAACTTGTAAGTAGTTGAGATTCCAGGTATGAGCTGCCATGCCCAGCTAAGTTCTTTTTTTTTTAATTTTTTTTTTTTTTTTTTTTAATATACAAAGATGGGGTTTCACCACGATGGCCAGGCTGCTCTTGAACTCCTGACCTCAGGTGATCCACCCACCTCAGCCTCCCAAAGTGCTAGGATTACAGGCGGGAGCCACCATGCCCGGCCCAGCTAAGTTCTTTTATATTGCCAATGATCACTTTTGCCTTAAAGTCTCTGCGTACTATTAATACAGCAATCTCAGTTTTTCTCTTACTTAATATTTGTGCGGCATATATGATATACATTTGTCCATACCTTTGTTTTAATGTACTTTTATTTTTTGGTTCACCACTTTAATTGTAAATGTACAATTCAGTAGTTTTCAATATATTCACAATATCATGATCATCATCATTATCTAATTCCAGAAAATTTCCGTTGTACCAAAAAGAAATTCTACACATTCTAATTTCTCCTTCCCCTACCCTCTGATAGCCAAGAATCTACTTGCTATCTCTATAGATTTACTGAATCTGGACATTTCATAGAAATGAAATCATTCAGTATGCGACCTTTCATTTCTGGTTTCTTTCATTTAGCTTAATGTTTTCAAGGTTCATCCATGATATAAGATGTATCAGTGTTTCATTCTTTATGGCTGACTAATACTGCATGGCATGGATATACCACATTTGGTTTTCTAACCATCAGTTGATGGACATGTGAATTGTCTACTTTTTGGCCATTATGAATAATGCTTCTATGAACATTCATATATAACGTATATCAACATGGTTTCTAACCTGTTATACACAAATTTTTTGTATGTGAACATATGTTTTTATTTTTATTTTTTTTTTGACATAGGGTCTTTCTTTGTCACCAGGGCTACAGTGTAGTGGCATGAAAACAGCTTGCTACAGCCTTGACCTCCCAGGCACGAGCAATCCTCTCGCTTCAGCTGCTCAAGTAACTGGAACTACAGGTACATGCCACCACACCTGGCTAATTTTTTTGTATTTTTTGTAAAGATGGAGTTTCATGATGTTGGCCAGGCGGGTCTCGAACTCCTGACCTTAAGTGATCCTCCTACCTCGGTCTCCCAAAGTGCTGCAATTACAGGCATGAGCCACCATGCCTGGCCTGTATGTAAACACATACATATATGTATTTTATTGTACTTTGGGCTCTGGGGTACAGGTGCACATCCTGCATCCTGCATGATTGTTGCATAAGTACATACATGCCACATCCCTCCCCACCAACCCCATCTCCTACATCAGGCATTTCTCCCAGTGTTATCCCTCCCCATCTGCCCCGTCCCCTGCTGTCCCTCCCCTCCCCTCCCCTCCATCTCCCAACCTAGCCCAGTGAGTGCTGTTCCAATCCCTGTGTCTAAGTGTTCTCATTACTCATTACCCACCTATGAGTGAAAACATGTGGTTTTTGGTTTTCTGTTCTTGTGTCAGTTTGCTGAGAATGATGGTTTCTAGATTCATTCATGGCTCTACAAAGGACAGGAACTCATCATTTTTTATGGCTGCATAGTATTCCATGGTGTGTATGTGCCACATTTTCCTTGTCCAGCCTATCATTGATGGGCATTTGGGTTGATTCCAAGTCTTTGCTATTGTAAACAGTGCCACAATGAACATACGTGCATGTGTCTCTATAATAGAATGATTTAAAATCCCTTGGGTATATACCCAGTAATGGGATTGCTGGGTCAAATGGAATTTCTATTTCTAGATCCTTGAGGAATCGCCACACTGTCTTCCATAATGGTTAAACTAATTTACACTCCCACCAACAGTGTAAAAGTGTTCCTTTTTCTTCACATCCTCTCCAGCATCTGTTGTCTCCAGATTTTTTAATGATCGCCATTCTAACTGGAGTAAGATGGTATCTCAGTGTGGTTTTCATGTGCATTTCTCTAATGATCAGTGATGATGAGCATTTTTTCATGTTTGTTGGCCTCATATATGTCTTCTTTTGAAAAGTGTCTGTTCATGTCCTTTGCTCACTTTTGAATGGGTTTGTTTGTTTTTTTCTTGTAAATCTGCTTTAGTTCTTTGTAGATTCTGGATATTAGCCCTTTGTCAGAGGGATAGATGGCAAATTTTTTTTCCCATTCTGTTGGTTGCTGGTTCACTCTAATGATAGTTTCTTTTGCTGTGCAGAAGCTCTTAAGTTTAGTTAGATCCCATTTGTCTATTTTGGCTTTTGTTGCCATTGCTTTTGGTGTTTTAATTATGAAGTCCTTGTCTGTGCCTATGTCCTGAATGATGTTGCCTAGGTTTTCTTCTAGGGTTTTTGTGGTGTTAGTTCTTATGTTTAAATCTTTAATCCATCTGGAGTTAATTTTTGTATAAGGTGTAAGGAAAGGACCCAGTTTCAGCTTTTTGCACATGGCTATCCAATTTTCCCAGCACCATTTATTAAACAGGGAATCCTTTCCCCATTGCTTGTTTCTGTCAGGTCTGTCAAGGATCAGATGGTTGTAGGTGTGTGGCGTTATTTCTGAGGCCTCTGTTCTGTTTCATTGATCTGTGTCTCTGTTTTGGTACCAGTACTGTGCTATTTTGGTTACTGTAGCCTTTGGTTACCGTAGTTTGAGGTCAGGTAACGTGATGCCTCCAGCTTTGTTTCTTTTTTATTTTTTGAGACAGTGCCTCGCTCTGTCACCCAGGCTGGAGTGTAGTAGCATGATCATGGCTCACTGCAGCCTTAACTTCCCAGGCTCAGGTGATTTTTTTCACCTCAGTCTCCTGAGTAGCTGGGACTACAGGTACATGCCACTACACCCAGACAATTTTTTCTGTTTTTTTTTTTTTTTAGAGAAGGGGTTTTTCTATGTTGGCTAGACTGGGCTCGAACTGCTGGGTTCAAGAGATCCACCTGCCTTAGCCTCCCAAAGTGCTGGGATTACAGGCTTGAGCCACCGTGCCCTGCTGGTGGTATTATATTTAATGCATAGCAAAAGTTATTTGAGTATCTTATTTGGCCATCTCTTTCATTCTCAATGCCTTTTGCAAACTTAGGAAGGAGCTAAAATACAAAACTCTTTCCTTTCTTCCCTCCCAGGAATTCCTATGTGTGTTCTCAAACACTCCCTTTCATCCATCTGAAGCTCCTCATTCCCCAGCATTCTGCTCCTCATTCCACCTCAGCTCTTCATGATCAGGGCTTATCTAACCTTTCTGGCTTCTTGAAGCCATCTCTCTCTGCTCAGTGTTCAGACTTTGCATAAGAGAGAAGAGCTCCAAAACCAAATCAGCCAGCAACAGGAGCAGGGAGAGAGATTGCAAATATATGACTATTTGTTGTTGTTTCTCTGCCACAGTTCAGTGTGTTCTATGAGGAAGAGGAATGTATATGTTCTAGCTTTGAGCAAATGGGTAGATGACGGTCCATTTGTGGAGACAGGAAACATAGGAAAAGTGATTCTGAGGAACACTTGAGATCAATGTGAGTGTTTTGAGTCTAGGCTGCCTTTTAGATGGTCTAGAGAAGCTGTCCAGAATAGTGTGCTTGGAGCTGCCTTGTACTGGCATGTGAAGCAATTGTCAAATTCTCAGGAATTGTGAACATCGCATTGTTAAAAAGTAATTGTATAAATACACAATGAAATAAAAAATAATTGTATAAATATACAATTAAATAAAAATAATTGCATAAACAATTAAATAAAAAATATATAAAATTAAATAAAAATAATTGTATATAAAATTAAATAAAAATAATTGTATATACAATTAAATAAAAATAATTGTATATACAATTAAATAAAAATAATTGTATATACAATTAAATAAAGAACAATTATATAAATATACAGTTAAATGAATTACATTGAAAACAAGGATAACAGATACTCAAAACTCATCTCTGTCTACATTTGAGTACTGTCTGTGCTCCTAAAGCTGCTTAAGTCTGCTGTGCCTGCATGGTGGAAACCATACAATGGCTTGCTACTGCACTTTTCTTGCCTTCGTGATGTTAGGTTGCTATCTAGAAATTGGCCATATTGGGAGTAAACGACAGAGACTGGCAAACGCTATGAATCAAGGCCTTCTCTTCCTTCCTAAGACCCAGCAATGAAACAGTTATCACACATAATATCCAAGAGATATTTGGATAAATGAATCTAAGCTCAGGAGACAAATCTGGGCTGGAGATACCACCGCGGGAGGCATAGACTTGATGCGGGCAGCTTCATGGGCTGGCGACGGGGGCCCACATCGAGAAGGACCTCATGTTTGGTTTAATGCTCTGCTATTGCTATCATAACATTCTTAATTTTTGAAAAAGAGGCGACACATCTTTATTTTACACTGGGCTAATATAGGTGATAGGGAATTTCAGGATGTTTGGGAAGGGGGTTGCTTAATTGATTTCCTTCCATTCCACATAACAAGTGTTCTGTCTTACTCACCTATGTGGTAACATTTTCACAGATATTTTCCCCATCCATCCCTCAACCTGTGTATTCTCCACAATCAGCTCAGAAAATTTCCTTTGTCTATTTCTTCCCTGTATTGTTCTTTGGCCTTCTTTTGAAACCTGTTAATTTTTTTTTTTTTTACTTTTATTTTAGGTTCAGGGGTACATGTGCAGGTTTGTTATACAGGTAACCCGTGTCATGGGGGTTTGTTGTACAGATTATTTCCTCGCCCAGGCACTAAGCCTAGTACCCAATAGTTATTTTTTCTGCTTCTCTCCCTCCTTCCTCCCTCCATCAAGTAGGCTCCAGTGTCTGTTGTTCCCTTCTTTGTGTCCGTGAGTTCTCCTCATTTTAGCTCCTACTTATACACGAGAACATGTGAGTATTTGATTTTTTGTTCCTGTGCTTGAACTGTTAACTTTCAAGGCATCAATGTATTGCATGGCTTTAATAAAAATGTTTCTTCAGAACAGAGATCTTGAAGGAAAAAAAATGTTTCTCTCCAGACTGCAACGTGCCACACATTCATTTTTCATCGTCGTGTGACGGTGATTACGGAGCCTGTGGGATAAGACAGAACTGGGTTTAAACTCTCTCTCTCTTCTGTTTTCTAATCCTTAGAACCTGTGAATGAGTTTGAACTCCTGTGTCTGTGACCTGAGGTAAATTTCTTTGACTTCTCTACCCTTCGGTTTCCTAATCTGAAGAAAAAGTAATCTTTACCTCTGAAGGTTATTGTGAATATTAATTAGATAATCTACATAAAGTGCCTTACATAATGCCTGGTCCGTGGTTACAGTGTTCAATTAATGGCAGTTATTCTTTTTATTCATACGTGATGAATTAGGAACTCCAGTAACGAAATTTGGGCATGACACATGGTAGAAAAGTCTTAGGAGGAATGAAGGGAACACGGCAGAGATGAGCTGCAAGACTTCAACTGTTTAAACATTTTCCTGGTCCCCCAATATGTATGTCCTAGACTGGATTGGACAAAGGACTTTTTACTGGGGCTCTCAGTATTCTCACAAGTCCTATCCCGTTATTCCTGAGACAGGTGATGTACACAAACAGCGCGGATGTGGGCTGTTGGACAGCCAATCATTCAGCCTTCTTGTGTCAGCAAAAAGCCTTTCCTTTCCAGCCTTCTTGCCGCAGTGAAAAATCCGGCCCTGGCGTAAAGCTTGGCACAGGGTCGGCACTCAATGTTCTGCAGGTTTTCCTCCTCCGTGCCGTGGCCCCAGCTTCTAGCACAGCGCCTGGCACACAGGAGGCGTCCATTTATTGAATGAGCGCACGATAATGTCACCCGTTTCTCCCTCTTCCCCCAAACCCCTGTTCTTGCGCCTCTGCCCCACGCAGCCAGCATATCCCGGGGCGCCGGGCGCAAGCCAGGCCTGGTTCACCGACTCACTCCCGGCGCGAGGCTGCGGTTTCTATGGAAACGGCGGGAAATAACAACTCCTTTCCCCCGGGTGAGCTAGGCCCGCAGAGGTAACAGCAGCTGGAGGAGCGGCGTGAGCCACGCGCAGCGCGGCCTCCGCTGAGGTCCCCGCGGTGCCACCGAGCCGCTGCGCCCAGCCCTCCCCCACCCCGCGCGGCCGCCTCCCGAGCCCCCTCCCCTGGCCAGCGCGCCAGAGTCGGTAGGTACCACCACAGAGGGCACCTCCCGGCCGCCCACCAGCCAGGGCCCTGCTGGCGTGCTGCCTGCTGTGCTCACGCGACCCGCACGGGAGCTTAGCCGCCGGGCGGCGCTCCTCAGCGGGGAGGCGGGTAGGGGTCCTAGACACGCGAGTCTTCGCTCTGTTTCTTATTCATTCATTCATTCATTCACTCAAATTCCTTCTTTCCTCCCTCCCTTCCTCCGTCCCTCCCTCCCTCCTTCCTTCCTTCCTTCTTTCCTTCCTTCTTCCCTCCCTCCTTCCCTTCCCCTTCCTTCCTTCCTTCCTCCTTCCCTCCCTCCCTCCTTCCTTTCTCCTTCCTTCCTACCTTCCTTCCTTCCTTCCTTCCTTATGGGGTCTTACTGTGTTGCTCAGGTTGCTCTCAAACTCCTGGGCCCAAGTCAGCCTCCTGCCTCAGTTTCCCAAAGTGCTGGGATTATAGACATGAGTTACTACACCTCCACTCTATATATATACATACACACATACATACATGTGTATACATATATAATTTTTTTTGCTGAGACACGGTCTTGCTGTTTCTCCCAGGCTGGAGTGCACTGACAAAATCATAGCTTACTGCAGCCTCGACCTCCTGAGCTCCAGTGATCCTCTTGCCTCAGCCTCTGCTATAGCAGGGTCCACAGGGGCACACCATGCCCACCTACTTTATTTTTATTTTATTTTTTAATTATAGAGACGGGGTCAGGTTGGTCTCAAACTCCTGCCTCAAGCGATCACAGGCGCGTTGTAGAGACGGAGGTTCCCCATTGTTTCCCAGGCTGGTGCAGAGCTCCTGGTCTCAGGCAGTGCTCCCGCATCGGCCTCTCAAAGTACTGGAATTTGCAGGTGTAAGCCACGGAGCCTGGCTTTGCCCCACGTCTCTCTCAATGCGCTTTAGACATTATTTTCCGACAAAAAACAAAACAAACAAACAAAAAAAAAAACTGGGCAATTACAGCCAGGAACTTAATTGCTTTCATTTGGGAGCAAGCAGGAGATTGAGGGGTAAGGATACAAGATGAGGGAAAAGGAAAATTAAGCTGTTTGGAAAGAGTAGCACAGATATGACGTAAGAAATTGGTGTGTGTGTGTGTGTGTGTCCTCCTCTCTCCTTCTGCCCTCACTCGGCGAGCCTGTGGGAAGCCCCCGCGCGGCTCCCGTTCCTGCACCTGCTCCGAGGCGGTCCACCTGGATTCTGCCGGTGGCAGAAGAAGCAGCAGGTGCGGTGCGCACTGCGGACGCTGATTGGTCGTGCGCGCCACGGTGAAAAACTTGAACGTCTACCCCGAGTCCTGCAGCTCCGAGAGTCTCCGCGGGGTGGACGCCCGGCGCACGGCCGTTACTTCTCTTCCACCTGTGGATTCGTCAGTTTCTCGTTCGTTTCAGCAGGCAATCCCGCGCCCTGGGTGCGCTGAGGCCTCCGGGGCAGCGGAGGCGCCACCCCTCAGCGGGCGGGCGGGCGAGCGAGCGGCGAGCGGGGAAGATGAGCGGCAGCGGCGCCAGGTCCAGCCACCTGTCTCAGCCCGTGGTCAAGAGCGTGCTGGTGTACCGCAACGGGGACCCCTTCTTCGCGGGGCGCCGCGTCGTCATCCATGAGAAGAAGGTGTCCAGCTTCGACGTCTTCCTCCAGGAGGTGACTGGCGGCGTGCAGGCGCCCTTCGGG